TTCCTTCCCTAAAGGACATTAGTGAACCAGATGGGTTTCTCCCCCAACAATGAATTCATTGTCATCATTAGATTCTTAATTCCATATATTTATTGAATTCAGATTCCACCATCTGCCGTAGCAGGATTTGAACCCAGGTCCCCAGAACATTCTCTGGATTTCTGGATTAATAGTCCAGCGATAATACCACTAGGCCATCACCTCCCCCAACCGTAGACCCATTGGCCCGTATTCCTCACAAGGACTTTCTTTAAGGTATTGAGCAACATTGGAAGGTTTCACACAGCCTGCTCTCAAGGCTCAATGTGGCCGAAAACTTTAAAGCGCTCAAGATCGCTATAATTTGAGTTAGATTCAATAAGAACATGGTTCTGAAGTTCATACTTTAGACTCCAAATGATGCACTTAAGTAGCCCATTACAACAATAGCTTTGAGCCTTCCACTGTGCGATACTTAGCTGAAATCTGGATGATGTTATGAGTTCCTAACAGCGGCATACACCCAAATGCCTGCTTTTTCTGTGGGTTTACACTTATTGGTCTATCAATTAATATTCTCCCTGGTACTTAATTTTATACTCCGTTTGACAAAATAGGCTCAACCAAACACTGGTGCCAAGCTGAAGAACAACCATTGAAGGAATCCGCATTTTATTCAGGGAAAAGAGAGAATGTGGAATGAGGAGAAACATAAGTGAGAGTGAGAAAGGAGAAGCCTCATAGTGAAACAGGAATGGCTGGAAATTCTCAGCAGGTGAAGCTCTTGTGAAAACCATCAAAATGTGCCATTCGGAAACAACAAAGCATTTCTAATGAGAGGTCTTCAGCCTGAAATGTGAACTCTCTTCCACAACATTTTCAGCATCTGCAGTATTTTGACTATTGTGCTGGAGAGCAAGGTTTTGATGGTTATGGGAACATGCTAGCAGATGAGCCATAGGGAACAGAAAGATCTAAGAAAATCACCATCTACCCACACCACACACCACCCACTCCAATCTGTGTCCCTTTGCTCCCTATTGGAAAGTGCCCAGTGAGGAAGAGCAGAAATGAGTTCTGTTGTGATGCCTTATTATTGCATAAGCTGATGACACTCACTGTCCAGCTCTTGTGTAAGCAATGCTCACTTGGGACCCACACGTAGAAACCTTGAACAGAAGAAGGAGAACACTTGGCAGGAGACAAAAGAATGAGATTGGAAAGACAGTGGTATCAGAGAAGATTGAGTGTGATTGAGCCAGCCATAAGGAAATGTTAAGGAGAAGACTTGAAGACAGAGTCTGAATCATTATGAGTTAGTTTACCATCAATCTGTTAATCCTAATAGCATTGAGTAGTGAACAGATGATGATGAGAATATCAAGAATGCATCTCTTTCTTAAACTAAATATCAAACAGCAAACACTAGGCAAATATGAGTAGAAACTGTGCCAAAACTCTGTCTTTCCATATTCATCCATGGGATGTAGGCATTGCTGGCTGAGCCAGCATTTATTGCCAATCCCTAATTACCCCTGACAAGGTTGTGGTGAACTGTCTTCTTGAACCATTGAAGTCCTTGTGGTGTAAAGCAAAATTAATTTTGAAGGGCCCATGCTCACACATTCAGTATTTCTCTAACTTGTCTAACTGTTTGTTAATTCATCATTTCAGTAAATCTATTACTGGAGAAATGGCTTTGTAGCTAACTTAGAAAGGCATATGAATTGACTTCAAGAACAAAAACAGAAGTTGTTGGAAAAGCTCAGCAGGTCTGGCAAAATCTGTGAAGAAGAAAACCAGAGTTAACGTTTCGGGTCCGGTGACCCTTCCTCAGAACTGTTTGGTTTTTATATGAATTGACTTAGCTTACGTTCAACCACATTGAGTTAGATGAATACTGTGGCTTCAGATCTAGTTGAATTTTGATAAATGACACCTATGAGGGTTAATGAGACAGTCCCACCCTAACCCAGGTCAACTGGTATCAATCCCGACTCGTTAATCCAGCCGAAAAGATCTCCATCCAATTCTACCTTAACTGGACAAAAATAACTTAGAAACAGCCCGATACAACACGAATCAGCACAATTGGGCTTACCCAAGCTGAACCCATGACAGCCCAACCAAGAATGATACAACCCCACCAAATCCAATTCAATCAACTCAACTCAACCCAACCCAACCCAACCCCAATGCAATTCAAACCAGCACAACCTGACTGAACCTGACCCAACCTAATCCAACACTAAAATAACACAAGGTGCCTCACAGGGGTTGTATTAAACAAAGTAGGACACAGAGCAACAGAAGGACGTTTTAGGTCAGGTGACCAAATGTTTGGCCAAAGAGATAGGTATTAGGGTGCACCTTAATGGAGGACAGCGCAGTGCAGACAATGGTGAATTAGAATTGGAGATGCTGAGGAGTCATTCTAATCTGATGGACATGTGATAAAGGTAAATTTTCTGCAATTACTGAAAAAAATGCACTTTTGGACAATTTTGCTTTAAGGGTCTTTAGAGGAAACCTTGGTTATCAAACACAGTGGCAGCAAATAAATTTTTAGCTTTGATTTATTCAAACTGAACTGTGCTAGAATCCTTCCAAGAAACAATATTTTGGGATGCGGTCAATATGGTTAACTTGAGACATGACATTTGGTAACATATTTGAGTGGAACTGGTGACTTTGCGCCTATGTTTCCCAAAGCTTCCTCTACCAATTCCTCAGCTTTAAAATTAAAATAAAACATTGACTTGCATTTTTATAGCCTCTTCCGCCACCTCAGACATCCTGAAGTGCAGTCAGCAATGTAATGTAGCAAAACATTGCAACCAACAGGTGCATTGCAAGCTGCTAAAAACAGCAACGTGATAAAGTCAGGTTTTATGCGTAATTTCTTCAGTGCTGTTAATTGTGGGATTGCTTAGTCAGGGGAACTAATTTGGTACCATGTCATTTGTGACGATTAGTCAGAATGGTTAAACTGTGCGCCTAACAGACAGCGAACTCAGTGATGTTCCATTCTGTTTTATTTTGTCTGGTCCAGCAATTAACCAACAGCATCATCTTTACTGTAATAAAATACGCCAAGGTGTTTTTGAGTGGAGGTTTCCCACACTGGGTATGACCCAGCCCCAGTGGAGTCACATGATGCAATTTGGAGATAATGGGCTCTGAGGCCACAATGGCAATCCTTTGAATGTTCAGTTTTATTTTTACCCTCAGCGTGGCTCGATGTTTTTTTTTAAATTCGCTAGTGGAACATCAGCATCACTGACTGATTGTGGTGGCGTGGAGGGGAGCTTGTAGATGCTGGTATCCTGTCATTTGAGGCCTGATTTCTACTCCAACCACAACCTGGCTGAAAACCCAACAGTTGTAACCTCCTCCATACCCCATCCCGGTCAATCACACACACATTCCCTCCCCTCCCCCCCCCACCTCCATTTCCCATGCAACCAGTCCTTCCCTCAACCACTCACAGTTTTCATTCCTGGGTTCACATGGAGTCTCAAACATTAAACTGGGGGTTGCATTGGGAAATACTATTCCAGACGTATTCCAAAGCAACATCAGACAATGAGCAACATAAAGCAATATTAAGGCAGACAGGTTGAGGATGTTGGTTTTAAAGATCTTTTTTACGGAAGTGAAATGAGGTAGGCAGGTTTAGCAATGGTACTCCAGAGCTTGGGGCTTTGACACAACAAGCAGTGGTGAAGTCATTAAAATCAGGGACGTTCATGAGGCCAGAATTAGAATCTCAGAAAGTCTGTGGAATGTTTGTAGCCCAGAAAGAAGGCACTCTGCCCAACAGCTGAGAAATAAGCCATCCAGCCTCATCCCACATTCCAGCTCTTAGTCTTTAACTCTGCAGATGACAGTACTTGCTCATTCAGACACCTTCTGAATGAATTGAGGGTCTCTGACTCAATTACCTTCTTCAGCAGCGAGCACTGGACCCCTACAAGCCTCAGGGTCAAAATACACAACCTCACCTGCTCTCTGATCCTACTATCGACCATTTTCAATCTCTGTCCCCCTCAGTATTGACCTCTCTGCTAAATCAAACAGGTCCTTCCCATCACTCCATCCAGGGCCCAGTAATGTTGTGCATCACAATCAAATTTCAGCCAACTCTGTTCCCAGAGAAACAACCTGAGCCTGTCCAGCATTTCCTCAGAGCTGCACTGTTCCAGTGTTGACAACGTCTTTGTAAGTCTCCTCTATTGCCTCTCCAGTGTAATCACAGCCTCTCTGTTGGACGAGCACAGATACCTCAGAGGGTTGTGGGGCTATAGAAGATGGAGAGGGTGATGAAAAGATTTACAAGTTTGTTGCTGAGACTGGAGGGTTTGAGTTAAATGGAGAGGCTGGATAGACTGAGACTTTTTTCACTGGAGTATATGAGTTTGAGGGGTGACCTTAAAGAGGTTTATAAAATCATAAGGTGAATAACAAAGGTTTTTTCCGCAGGGCAGGAGAATTCAAAACTAGAGGGTATAAGTTTAAGGTGAGAGGGAAAAGATTTAAAAGGGACCTGAGGGGCAACTTTTTCACGCTGATTTTCCTATATGGAACAAGCTGCCAGAGGAAGTGGTAGATGCAGATACAGTTATAACATTTAAAAGATATTTGGATGGGTACATGAACAGGAAAGGTTTGGAAGGATATGGGCTAAACGCAGACAAATGGTACTAGTTTAGTTTAGAAATTGCTGTAAAAACTGAGCAGGTCTGGCAGCAGTTGTGGAGAGAAATCAGAGTTAACGTTTCAGGTCTAGTGACCCTTCCTCAGAATGGGAAACTTTGGTCGGCATGGACGAGTTGGACCGAAGGGTCTGTTTCTGTGCTGTATGACTCTATGAGTGGCCAAGGAAGGACTACAAAATGAGGATCTAAATTCTATAATCAAGGCTAGGGTCAATGTAGTTCATTAAACACAAGATGGGGGCGTGGGGAAACATGGTACAGAATGGGGGAGTGGAGGCTGAAGTTTCTCTTTAAAATGCTCACCTTTCTCTTCTGGCGGTGAATGTCACCAATGGAGTTGATCAGGCTGGTGGAACCCAGTAGCATCCTAGTACTGCGTGGCCATTGGCTGCTCACCAGGGTGTGTTCGCCCATCAGGATCTTCCTCACATTCTCGGAGCCGGTTACACGAATCAGCGGGCGACCCAGGAGATGCGTCTTGAACACGTTGCCATATTTCTCCCGTCTCGACGAGTGGAATCTGGACCCCTGTTACAGAGAGAGCGCAATGACATTACAAACCACGATATTACAGCAACAGGTTGACCAAGGCAAGCTCACACACCCAAAGAATCAGGCTCTGACCCACTACTCACTAACATCAAAGAACGCAAAGGGAGGCCATTTGGCTCAATTTTGCGGTACTAACTCTTTGATAAAGCTACCAAATTTTGTCAATTTGCCCACAGGGCTGTAAACATTTTCTCCTTCAAGGCCTTTTATCCAATTCCCTTTTCGGTCAGTTCCTTTTGAATCTGCTTCAATTGTCCTTTCAGCTCATGCCTTCCAGATGACAGCAACTCACTGCATTACAAACAATCTTCTGTTCTGATTCTTCGGCCAACTATCTTAAACCCCTGGTGATCTTTGCCATTAGAAGACATTTCTCCCCAGTCTACTGTTCAGCTCAAACATCAGAAAGGGATGAGAGAGAACAATAAACACCATTAGGAAGTCACGAACTGAGCATAATTCTGTGGTCTGCATTCCCTCCCCTGGTTTCCCGCACTCTTTCGGCTAACATTTGCAACTCAGTCATTCTCCCCTCTGAGTCTGTAGATTCAAGCCTCACTCCAATGAATTCAGCAACTGTATAAGAAACTACAGTTGTGACTCTACAACTCAACACAGAATGGTGGGCTGTTTCTATGCCGTATAACTGCCACTATGGGAAATTGCAGTATGTTTTCTTTACTCGTTCATGAGATGTGGGTATCACTGGCAAGGCCATTATTTATTTCCCAGACTGTTTGTCCTTAAGAAGGAGATGGTGAACTGCTTCCCAAAATTGCTGCAGTTCCCTGTGCTGTTGAAATAGTCATGGTGATGTAAGGATGGGAGTTCGAGAGATTTAACCAGTGACAACGACAATATAGCTTTTCTTTCCTTTATTCATTCACTGGATGAGGGTGTCACTGACCAGGCAGCATTTATTGCCCATCTCTAATTGCCCAGAAGGTAGCTATGAGTCAACCACATTGCTGTGAGTCTGGAGTCACATGTAGGCCAGACCAGGTAAGGATGGCAGTTTCCTTCCCTAAAGGGCATTAACTCAACCAGATGGGGTTTTCCAACAATCAACAATGGATTCATGGCCATCATTAGATTCTTAATTCCAGATATTTATTGAATTCAAATTCCACCATGGCAGGATTCGAACCCAGGTCCCCAGAACATTACCTGGGTCTCTGGACTAACAGTCCAGTGATAATACCACTAGGCCATCATGTCCCCTCAAAGTCAGGATAGTGTGAGGTTTGAATGGATGGTTGTGGGAGTGGAGTGGGGGGAGGGTCGTGTTCATGGTTGCATATTCCATATTGTTATCACCAAATCTCCACTCGGTCTTCAGCCCACTCAGTGTTCTCAATGAAATCCCAGACCCTGACTAAAGGTCAAAAAGTATCCCTCAAAGTGGCTCACCCATCCAGAGGAAAGAGTTGCTGTTCTCCAGCAGAAACTGACATGTCAACTGGGGCATGATAATCAAATACACAATTCCAATGCTCGCTCAGTCTCACAGCACAAGGCAGCAGGGGCACAGGCTGGTGACAGGAAAGCTAGGGAGAAATAGACATTCAGAAGACACCCTCCTCTGTCAGCTTTGCTCAACAGGATGTGATGTTCATTAGTCTGAGCTCCAGCAATACAGAAGACTGGAAGCCCAGGAATAAATGTGGCAGCTTAATTGCAAAAACTGGGTGGCATGGGCAAGTTGGGCCAAAGGGTCTGTTCCTATCCTGATCACCTTTATGGCTCTATGGCTGTTACAATTCCTATGATGGGATTCTATCTATCTATCTATCTAACTATCTATCTATCTGTGTCTCAAGTTCTTTCAAATTTGCTATCTCTCCACTGCTAACTACCGCAGTCTCACTTCAATTTTCTTCAGCAATGTCTGTCTGTTTCAGATTGTCTCCCTGTTTCTCCCTGAGGAACATAGGAATTAGGAGCAGGAATAGGCAATTCAGCCCTTCGAACCTCTACCACTATTTAACATGGTCATGGCTGATCTTATCCTGGTCTCACCTCCACTTTCAGGATCTTACCCTTCCACTGAACTCCCTCTCTATCATATTCTCACTGTCTCACACTCAGTCCCCCAGTTCTCTCTTCCCCCAACTTCTGTTACTATCAGTTAGATTCTCTCTCACATTTTATTTCTCTTTGATTCACTCTCACGTTCATTCTCTCTTTCTATTTGTCCATTTCCCTGTTTCTCTCACTCTTTCTTTTGCAATCTATTTCTGTTTCACTGTTTCCCTGTTTATTATTCATTCACCATGTCTCTGTTTCTCTTGCCCTTGCTGTTTCTCTATCAACTCTCACCATCTATTTCTGACACTATTGCCCCACATGCAATCTTTTCTTTCCATTTCACTGTTTTCTTTCTCACTGTTTCTTCCTCTGTTGCTCACTCTCTCTGTCTTTTGCTCTCTGTTCTCCCACCCCTTGTATATTGCTCTGTCCATCTCTGTCTCATGTTGTCTCTCTGTCACACACTGTCTCTTTCTCTCACACACACCCTCTCGTGCTCTGTCCCCCATTCTCTATCACTATCTATTGACCTTCACTCTCTCTCACACACACACATACACAATACTGTCTCTTGCCCTGTCCCTTCTCTCTCTCACACACACACATACAAACTCACACACACACTCACTGTCACTTGCTCTATCCCTCTCTTTCTCACATACACACACACATACAAACACACACACACACTCACTGTCTCTTGCTCTCTCTCTCTCTTTCACTGTCTATTGCTCTGTTTCCCCCCTCATCCCCCATTTCTCTCTCTCTCTCTTACTGTCTCTGGCTCTGTCCCTCTCTCTCTCACTGTCTCTGGCTCTGTCTGTCTGTCTCTCTCTCTCTGTCTCCGGCTCTGTCCCTCTCTCTCTCACTGTCTCCAGTTCTGTCCCTCTCTCTCCCTCTTTTACTGTCTGTGACTCCGTCCCTCTCTCGCTCCTTCTCACTGTCTCTAGCTCTCTCTCTCTCGCTCGCTCGCTCACTGTCTGTGACTCTGCCCCCTCTCTCTCTCACCGTCTCGCTCTATCGCTCTCTCACACACATACAGAGACGCGTGTACAGTCTCTCACTCTCGCACACACATACTCACCTCCCTCCCCCCCCCCCCCCCACCACCCGCCCCCACTCACTGCAGTATTTGCTTTGTGTATAATGAGCACCATCCGATAAATCTTATTAAACCAAATTTGAGAGATTATCTGGGTAATCGCGGCTTTTAACGCAATTTCTGGCCTGATCTCAATAAATATGATTACAGCTCTCTTTGTGCTTAAAGAAAGGGTTATTGATACATTTCCACCCGGGGACAAAGAATGCTTTATGCAGAGGAAGTTCAAATCAGTTTACACTAAAAATTAGGATTTTAACAGAGTGACTGAACAGGGAATGGGAGGCTTCCCGCGCCTCTCTGTGTAAAACAAAATTCTCCCTCATTGCGAATGAATGAATGAGGTTCTCAGTGTGGAAGGTCGCCCCAGGTTACATTACATCCAGGAGAGTGGGTGCCCCCAGCGCAGACAGGAGACCCGGGAGTGAGACACTGGAACCCAGGCCGGAACAGTCAAACTGTTCCACGGATAGGACCCCCACGTAGATGCAGCTCCCTCCGGGGAGGGGACACAGCCCCTACCGGTACCTGCCTCGGTCCCACACATATACCCACCAGCCCCACCTCCCTCCGCAACAAATGGCCGTCCTCCGCTGCCGACCGGCTATTTGACTGCGGGAGGCTTCACGCTAGATTGTTTCCGCGACGCCCAACCCCCCATTCCCCTCACCGCCAACATCCAGCAAAGTGAACAGGAACAGGAAAATCCTGATTAACCCTCTTCTTGCACCCCCCCCCCCCCCCCCCCCCCCCCGGAGGCAATTGTAACGCACCCCCAGCGGTTAGCCAGGAATGGAGAGGGAGCTGTCTACAATGCTTTCCAAAGCTGAACGCTGCCCGACATTTAGAATGGTTTCGATGTGCATCATTTCTATCCGGACAGAAATATCGAGAGATTGTGTGAATACTGGGCTGGACAAAATAGATTAGCATTTATTAGGGAATTCAGTTGATATTATAGTTTTAAAGAGTAAGGTGGGAATATTGTCTGTTTACACACACATACACAGACACACACAGACATACACAAACATACACACAGACACACATATACAGACGCACACGCACACATACACACATACATACGCGCACACATACACAGACACACATACACACCCACATACACAGATACACACACATATACACATACACAGACATACACACACATCCACATACACACATATTTACACACACACATACACGCACACATACACGCATACATACACACACATACACAGACACACACAGATGTACACATAAGCACACACATACACAGTTGCCCCATTCCCACACAGACACCGACCTGCAATATGCAGAGAAGCTACAAGGGTGAGAATGTCCCGCAAGGGATGAGTTGCTCAGTTAAGTGTTTCTAGGAAT